TCATTTCTTGCTCTGACTTCATAAGGTGTCATTGTGATGGAATGACAAACCAGTCCTATGTAAGACCCTGGCTGGGCTGAGGTTTATGTCCATGAGAGCCCAGAAAGCTGAATTGTGTACTTGTTGTACTTGAAATGAACTAGTTGGCTTGTTTTCCATTTTCATTTTTTTCTTATTATTATTTTCCTTTGGTTTTTCTTCTTCTTCTTGTGTTTTCTTTTTCTCCAACTTTGTTTTTTCTTTTTCCTTTTGTCTTTACTCAATTTTTTTCCTTTTTCTTTTCTTAATTTTTTCTTTTGTTTCCTCTTTTGAAATTTTTTTCTTTGTTAGCTCCCCAGACAAAAAAAGGCTAAGAAAATACATTAGCACCAAACCAGCACTGCAAGAAATGTTAAAAGGACTGCTGTAATTAGCAGGAGAAATGGGAAGAAAAAAATAGAACCACACTAAACAAAAATGGCAATAAATAAGTACATATCAATAATCACCTTAAATGTAAATGGACTCAATGTTCCCATAAAAAGACACAGAGTAGCTGATTGGATAAGAAAGCATGTCTCATCTATATGTTGTTTACAAGAGACTCACCTCACAACAAAAGACTCACATAGATTGAAAGTGAAGGGATGGAAAAAAATCTTCCAAGCAAACGGAAAGGAAAAAAAAGCTGGGGTAGCAATATTCATATCTGATAAAATAGACTTCAAAATGAAGGCCATAACTAGAGACAAAGAAGGCCACTACATAATATTGAAAGTATCTATCCAACAGGAAGATACAACCTTGATAAACATATATGTACCCAATATAGGAGCACCAAAATATATTAAAAATCTTCTGGAGGACTTCAAATGAGAAATCAATAGCAATACAATCATAGCAGGGGACTTCAACACCCTGCTGACATCACTGGATAGATGCTCTAGACAAAAAAATTAGCAAGGAATCAGAGACTCTAAATGAAGCACTAGACCAAATGGATTTAACAGATACCTACAGAAAATTATACCCCAAAAACTACAGAATTCACATTCTTCTCAAGTGCACATGTGACATTCTCAAAGATAGACCACATGTTAGGGCACAAACTAAGTCTCTACAAGTTCAAGAAGACTGAAATCATATCAAGCATCTTCTCAGATCCCAATGGCATGAAACTAGAAATCAATTGCAAGAAGAACATACAAAGTCATTTGAACACATGGAAGCTAAATAGCATGTTATTAAACAATGAATGGGTCATTGAGGAGATCAAGGAAGAAATCAAAAACTTCCTGGAAACCAATGAAAATGAAGACACAACAACACAAAATCTATGGGATGCAGCGAAAGCAGTTCTGAGAGGGAAGTTCATAGAACTACAGGCCTACCTCAAAAAACAAGAAAAATCTCTACTAGACTATTTAACTTCAAAACTTAAAGAACTAGAGAGCAAAAAAAAGGAAACCCCAAAGCAAGTAGAAGGAAGGAAATAGTAAAGATCAAAGCAGAAATAAATGACATAGAGACCAAAAAAACAATTCAAAGGATCAATGAAAAAAAGAGCTGGTTTTTCGAAAAGATAAACAAGATTGATGGACCCTTAGCTAGACTCACCAAGAAACAAAGAGAGAGAACCCAAATACACAAAATCAGAAATGAAAGAGAAGTAACAAGTGACACCACAGAAATACAAAAGATCATTAACAACTACGATGAACAATTATATGGCAACAAATTCAATAATCTAAGCGAAATGGACAAATTTCTAGAAACACATAGTCTCCCAAAACTGGACCAGGAAGAGATAGAAAACTTGAACAGACCAATATCAACAGAAGAAATTGAAGATCTAATCAAGACTCTCCCAGCAAACAAAAGCCCAGGACTGGATGGCTTCACGGGGGAGTGTTACCAAACATTCAAAGAAAAACTAACACCCATTCTCTTCAAACTATTTCAAAAAATTCAAGAAGAAGGAAGGCTTCCAAACTCGTTTTATGAAGCCAGCATAATTCTAATTCCAAAACCAGAAAAAGACACTACAAAGAAAGAAAACTACAGGCCAATATCCCTGATGAACATAGATGCCAAAATCCTGAACAAAATACTAGCAAATTGGCTCCAGCAATACACCAAAAAAATTATCCACCATGACCAAGTGGGATTCATCCCAGGGATGCAAGGCTGGTACAATATTTGCAAATCAATAAACGTGATACACCACATAAATAAAATGAAGAATAAAAACCACATGATCATATCAATAGATGCCGAAAAAGCCTTCAAAAAAATCCAGCATCCATTTCTGATAAAAACGCTCAGCAATGTGGGAATAGAGGAATCATATCTAGACATAATAAAGGCCATATATGAAAGACCTACAGCCAACATCATACTCAATGGGCAAAAACTAAAAGCATTTTCCTTAAGAACAGGAACATGGCAAGGATGCCCACTTTCGCCACTCTCATTTAACATAGTACTGGAAGTCTTAGCCACAGCAATCAGACAGGAAGAAAAATAAAAGGGATCCAAATTGGAAAGGAGGAAGTGAAACTGTCATTATTCGCACATGACATGATACTATATGTAGAAAACCCCAAAGACTCCATCAAAAGTTTACTAGACTTAATAAATGAATTTGGCAAAGTAGCAGGATACAAAATTAACATCAAGAAATCAATGGCATTCATATACACCAAGGATGAACTCATAGAAAGAGAAACTAAGAAAACAATCCCATTTACCATTGCGGCAAAAAAATTAAGATACCTAGGAATAAACTTAACCAAAGAAATAAAGGACCTATTCGCAGAAAACTACAGGTCATTGTAAAAAGAAATAGAGGAAGATAAAAAAAAAAGTGGAGGCACATACCCTGTTCATGGATTGGGAGAATTAACATCATTAAAATGTCCATATTACCCAAAGAAATCTACAGATTCAATGTAATCCCCATCAAAATACCAATGGCATACTTCACAGAATTAGAACAAGTACTTCAAAAGTTCATATGGAACCAAAAAAGACCTCTAATAGCCACAGCAATTTTGAAAAGGAAGAACAAAGTTGGAGGGATCGCCCTGGCTGGTTTGGCTCAGCGGTTAGAGCGTCGACTTGCGGTCCTGAGAGACCCGGGTTCGGTTCCCGCTAAGGGCGCGTACCTCGGTTGCAGTTTGTCCCCGGCCCTGGTTGGTCGTGCGGGTGGCAACCACTCGATGTGTCCCTTTCGCGTCGATGTTTCTCTCTCTCTCTCTGTTTCTCTCTCTCCCTCCCAGTCTACCTGAAGAAAAAATGGAAAAATGTCCTCTGGTGAGGATAAAAAAATAAAAAAAAAGTTGGAGGGATCACATTACCAGATTTCAGGTTATACTACAAAGCCACTATAATCAAAGCAGCCTGGTACTGGCACAAGAACAGGCATATAGACCAGTGGAACAGAACAGAGAACCCAGAAATGGACCCAAGGCAATATGCTCAATTAATATTTGACAAAGGTGGCAAGAGCATACAGTGGAGTAAGGACAGCCTCTTTAATAAATGGTGCTGGGAAAATTGGACAGCTACATACAGAAAAATGAAACTAGACCATCAACTTACACCCTACACAAGAATAAACTCAAAATGGATAAAAGACTTAATTGTGACTCATGAATTCATAAAATCCTAGAAGAAACTGTAGGCAACAAAATTTCAGACATCTTATGCAGCAGAATTTTCACGAATATATCACCTAATGCAATAGAAACAAAGGAGAAAATGAACACATGGGACTACATTAAACTCAAAAGCTTCTGCACAGTGAAAGATACAATCATCAAAACGTAAAGGCTACCCACTGTATGGGAGACCATAATTTCCAATGATATATCAGATAAGGGGTTAATTTCCAATATATATAGAGTGTTCATACAACTCCACAAAAGGAAGACAAAGAACCCAATTAAAAAATGGGCAGAGGAACTAAATAGACACCCCTCCAAACAGGACATACAAATGGCTAAGAGACATATGAATAAATGCTCATCATCACTAATCATCAGAGAGATGCAAATTAAAACAACAATGAGGTATCACCTCACACCTGTCAGAATGACCGCCATCAACAAATCATCAAACAACAAGTGTTGGTGAGGGTGTGGAGAAAAGGGGACTCTAATACCCTGCTGGTGGGAATGCAGACTGGTGCAGCCACTATGGAAAACAACATGGTGTTGCTTCAAAAAATTAAAAATTGAACTTCCATTTGACCCAGTGATCCCACTTCTAGGAATATACCCTAAAAGCCTGAAACACCAGTCAGAAAGAATATATGTACCCCCATGTTTGTAGCAGCACTATTTACAATAGCTATGATCTGGAAACAGCCCAAGTGACCATCAGTAGACAAATGGATAAAAAAGCAGTGGTACATATACACAATGGAGTACTATGCAGCTGTAAGAAAGATCTCTTGTCCTTTGAGACTACATGGAGGGATCTGGAGAGTATCATCTTGAGCTAACATCTGGAAACAGCCCAAGTGACCATCAGTAGACGAATGGATAAAAAAGCAGTGGTACATATACACAGTGGAGTACTACGCAGCTGTAAGAAAGATCTCTTGTCCTTTGAGACTACATGGAGGGACCTGGAGAGTATCATCCTGAGTGAGGCAAGGCTAAGAGAGAAGGACAAATATCATGATCTCACTTATTTGTGGAATATAATGAACATAACATTCTGAGGAATGGGGTAGTCCCAGAGACGTGGATGTGGGGTACCGACTGACAATCCCCCAAAGAGGGGATGGTGGGGGAGAGATAAACCACAGAACTTATATGCATGTATGCATGAACAGTGGACATGGACAACAAACTGGGTACAAGGCAGGGAGGGAGGGGAAGGGGGAAATCAGTGGGGGGAAAAGGAGAAATATCTGTAACAAAAATTAATTAATAAAAAAGAAAAAATAAATTAAATAAATTTTTTTCTTTGTTTTAATTCTTTTTGTTTGTTTGTTATTTTAATGAGTCACCATGTCTGATGACTTTGCAGCCCTCTCTGCTAGCGAGGAGCACCTTATTGGTAATTAAATCCTCCTCAACAACATCGGCAAGGGATCATTTGCTGACGTGAGGCTAGCTTGGCATACTTTGACTGGCACAGAAGTTGCAGTAAAAATTGTGTATTGGCATGGCTCCTCTGAAGTTTTACAAGAAGTCCATTGTGTTAAGGGTTTAAATCATCCCAACATTCCCAAATTGTTTGAGGTGATTGCCACTGAGGACAAACTGTATCTGTTCATGGAGCACGTGAGCGGTGGGGACTTACTGGGAGAAGAAAGGCCGCATGATGGAAGAGGAAGCCCGTGTCATGAACCAGCAAGTAATATCTGCGGTACAATACTGCCACCAGAGGCACATTGTCCACAGGGACTTAAAACCTGAAAACATACTCATAGACAAAGACATGAACTCTAAATTATCAGACTTTGGCTTCAGTAGGGAATTTACAGATGAAAAACTTACCACCTTCTGCGGCACCGCCTCCTACATGGCTCCAGAGACATTAAAGCTTGAACCCTATGAGGGCCCGAAGGCAGATATCTGGAGCCTCGGGGTAGTTCTTTACAGGATGGTAACAGGCCAACTGCCATTTGTTGGGAATAACTTTAGAGAACTTAGCAGTAAGATCATGAGTGGGCAGTTCTTTATACCATACTTTCTATCCCCATTATGTCAACAACTATTGAAAAACTTAATGACCCTTGACTCCAGCCAGAGACCAACCTTAGAAAATATAATGAAGGACCGCTGGCTCAACATGGGCCAGACAGAGGAACTGAGGCCATACAGTGAGCCACCCTGGGGGGACCTGAATCCTCAGATAATAGAAATAATGAGAAATATGGGATTTGAACAGCAAGAGATACAGAAATCCTTAACTGGAAAAAAAATATGATGCTATTACAGGAACTTACCTGATTTTATCTACATCAACATCCAAAATGAAGGGTTGGACCTTTAGGGTAAGGCCTTGTCCTTCCCCTGACCCCAGCATCAGCCTTTTCCCAACCCAAGGGGCTCAGGCATCAGGGAAGAAAGGCGGAGACCCAGCCATTTCCACAGCCAGCCTGGTGTCAAGGGTGCTCCCTTCCTCAGTCATCTTGGAAGCAGAGAAGAGCATTTCACCAGCCATCCTAGAACTGAAGACCACCACTGCCCCAGCCAGCCAGGAACCAAAGACCACCACTGCCCCAGCCAGCTGGGAACTGAAGACTATCACTGTCACCACCAGCCAGGAACTGAAGACCATCACTCCCCCAGACAGCGGGGAAGTGAAGACCACCACTGTCCCCACCAGCCAGGAACTGGAGACCACCACTGTCCCAGCCAGCCGGGAACTGGAGACCACCACTGTCCCCACCAGCCAGGAACTGGAGACCACCACTGTCCCCACCAGCCAGGAACTGGAGACCACCACTGTCCCAGTCAGCCAGAAACTAAAAACTATCACTGCACCAGCCAGCTGGGAAGGGAGGATGACAAATCCCTCAGCTAGGGTGGAAGCAAGGACCACCACTTCAGTACTTGGTCTAAAGTCCTGTACCGCCACCACCAGTTCAGCCCTCCTGTGTGACCCTGGGGCTTCCCCCATCACCCACATCAGCAGCACCAGCAGCGTTGGTGGAGCCCCCGAAGAAACCACCTGTGAAAACTTCCTTCAGGCTGCTCATCCTGATGGTGGATCCCAAGCCCCTTCCTCTGGCCACATCCAGGGCCGACAGAGTAAGGCCAGGAGGGCCTTCAGGTTCTTTTTAGGACTGATGTGCTGTGTGCCCTCCAGGGACAGACAGTGTCTCAAAAGGACAAGAGTGAAACCAAAATAATTTTTAACGTGTGGACGGCCATGGTAGGGCCACAGTCAAAGGAGCTGGGAACATAGGCAGCGCCCCCAGAATGTTGAACCTGAATTTATACTAACTTATACTGCACATTTACTATGTTCAAATCCCTGTGCCAAGTAACTTACCAGTTTTATCCCATTAAATTTTCCTAAGAATCCTATGAGGTAGGGACTGTTGTCTTATTGTTCATTTGAAGAAAGTATCACCCAAATAATTGGAAATAATAAAATGGAGTATTTGCTTTCTGTTAAATATTGCTTTAATTATATAAAAAATTGAAACAGCTTTAAGATTCTAAATAGGGATTTGTTAAATTATCTCAGTTATACAATGGAATTCAGCCATCTTGACTTTGGAAATAATGGTGTGGAATACTTTTGACACGCACATTTCTGTATATTAAGTGTGAGAAATAGGTTAAAAGAGAAGATATACAGTATAATCTCATTTGAAAAACACAATAGGTATATAACAAGTTCTGTCTCTTTTTTTCTGGTCCACTTCTCCAGTGATTCATATGCACATGGAAATTTGAGAACCCCACTATCTTACATGGTCCTCACAAAAATCCTATAAATTAGGTAGGGCTAACACCACCCGCCATTCTTGAAATTTGGAAAGTATACATAGAAGAGATTAGGTGGTTTTGCTTAAGAGGATACATTTCTAATGTGGAAGTGGGTCAAGGTCTTGTTCAGAGGGAAGGAGGTAGGCAGGGAAGAGGAAAGGTGAAGAGTAGTCCTGTGAGCCAGAACCTGGAGGTTTGGGCCCAGGTGGGAGGTGGAAGATGTGACAGGACAAGCTGAGGTCTGAGCAGAAAGCTCGCCCAGGAGAGTTGCTGCAGTTGATCTAAGCGAGGGGAAGCAGAGACTGGCCAGGGCAGGGTATTGTGTGTGAGAAGGAGCAAGTACCATCCATTGCCATCATTCCCAGGCTGCATATCTGCAAATTCGCCTGCTCACTAAGATGTATTTGTAACCCCAAAATCAACACTCAAGGTGGACTGGCCGGCATTCGCAGACATGTACAGATGGTGACAGTTTGAAACACCCCACATGTGTGTTTCCCGCTGAGAAGGAGCCAGGCCACGCTCGGTCCTGTTGTTTCGGCTCTCACGCTGTAACAAGTGTTTCCTTCCTTACGGAGCTGGGCCCTTTTTTTTGTTCACATTTCTGTGCTTTTCCTTGGTTCCTCCTCTGTTTAAAATGGCCCCCAAGTGTGGTGCAGGAGTGTGGGTAGTGTTCCCGAGCGCAGGAAGGCCGTGACGGGCCTTATGGAGAACCTGTGTGTGTCAGATAAACTTTGTTCAGATGTGCCTCATACTGATTCTGGGGCAGGAGGTGAGTGTTAGTGAATCAACAATGTATATTAAATAAGGTATTTTAAAAGGAAGCAAACATCAGACAATTTGTGTATCGATTAGTTGGTGAAAATGTTGTGGTCAGAGGCTTGTAGGGACCTAACCCTGCATTTCCATGGGAACAGTGGTTCAGTGTCTACTCACTCAGTGTCTGCCTGGAGTAATAGGAATCAACTCGTTGCTGTAGCAGCAGCAACTGGAAGAATCTACTCTGTCCCACTTTCTCTGTCTAGGGCTGTTAACCCTTGCAGTGCATGCCATATGTCTGCCATGATACACATGGCAAGGATGGGGAAACTGAGGCTCAAACAATTGTTGAGTTGGTCTGAGATTACTTAGTGAAGAGATGCAAACGCTAGGTTGTCGTAGGCATTTCAGAGTCAGAACCAGCAGGGCTTGCTTACGGCTGGGATGGTGGGCGAGGAAGAAGGCAGAGTTTAACAGCTAATCCCCAGGTGTCAAGCCCCATTGAACAGAAAGGTGGTGGTGCCACTAGGGAGAAACAAAAACAAAAACAAAAACAGGTTATGATTTTAGGTAGAAAAGCAGGACTTGATTTTAGCTATGGATTTGGAAGTCATCACCCACAGAGATGAATTTATAGTCATAGGAAAGAATGAGACACTACTCCCAAGCCCCCAAAGGAAGAGAATTTGAAAAATGTTTGCATTTAAGGTAGTAGAGGGAGGAAAGGAAAGAAAAAGAACAAAGACCACAACCAGAAATAGAGGATGAATAAAAAGACTGCAGGATGATGGAAGCAAAAAATTAACTTTAAAAATTTTTTTAATTTATTTTTAGAGAGAGAGAAATATTGACCAGCAGCTGCCTTCTGCACACCCTCTGCCGGGGATCAAGCCCGCAGCTTGGGCATGTGCCCTGACCAGAGATGAAACTGGCACCCTTCTGGTGCAGGGGATGATGCCCAACCCACTGAGCCACTCAGCCAGGGTGGAAGCAAAAAAAAATTTTTTTCAGAAAGGCTGAGTGGAGATAGCTCTTGGTGTGAGACACTCACAAAGACCAGCATGAAGATGGAGAAAAGGTCACCGCCTTGGCTGATAGCATGTGACTGGTGACCTTTGGAAGTGCAGTTGTGACGGTGGGGGCAGCAGGCAGGGAAAGAAGCAGTGCGGCGTCCTGAGAAATGGAGTTTGCAGATGGGGCTGCCCTCTCCCGTCAGCAAACTCCCAGAGCAGGAAGATGGGAGGAAAACTAAGAGGAGACAAGGAGATGGAATCCAGGAAAAATAGAAAGGCAAGGGAAATCATTGTTTTGAAAACACAGAGGAGACCAGAGGGATGGAACCAGCAGATTTATCCTTTGGAAGGAGGAGCAGGTGTTTCTGTTTTGAGGCACTGTGCAGCTTGTAGAGACATTCTTTTAGAGACAGAGAACCTCGAAGTGTGCAAGCCAACATCTAAACCAGTAACCAACTTCACCCTAAAAGACAGCAGGGAATAATCTACAAGGCGGTTTAGGGCACTCACTGTTCAGCCTTTTAGTCTCAAAGGCACGAAGTTGCCACATCATCAGTTCTGGTTGGACACTGTCTCATCATTTCGAGACACGTTGTTGGAGAACTAGACTGTTACTTTAAAGCCGATATAGTTACTTGGCTACTTCTAAAACGTTATGACTAGAGATCTTGCTGATTCTGCGTTTGCATTACCAACAGCCCTGCCGCAGCTGTGTGGGAGCTGGCATTCTCAGGTGCACACCTTGCTTAAGTTCTTTACAAATGAAAGAAAACGTCACTTAAATCACTCAAGCAGGTTAAACATTTTCCACTCTCACTTGTCTGTTTTCCTTTTTCATCAAGAAACCTGGCAAACCTTTTATCTGCAGGTGTTGCCGAGGCAAAACTTCAGCCAGGCTTATATTAAATTGTCACAAAACCCCAAATTAATAAAATCTGACTGCCTAACGCCAGAGGCCTGCTGGACCTGAATGCCGTTAATTGCTCTGCCCACGGGGATAGGAAAGTGGGCTAGGCGAATGTAATGGTCGTGGTTAAGCCTCCTCAGTGATAAAATGCTTCCCGACATAGAATGTTCCAAACAGCCTGCTCCCTGGGAAATGCTGCATAGAAGCTGATGGGTTATAGCAGCTCACTCAGCCGATCCAGTCATGAAAATTGAGGTATTAAAGTTTAATATGCTAGGGAAGCAATTCTAACCCTGGGTCCAGCTCACTGCTGTTACTGTCCCTGCCTTGCCACACTGCATGTTAAAGGGAACTGCTCACCATCACCTGACACCGCTGCTCAGTAGCCCCCAGCCTGGCCTCTTGGTACTTGGCACACACCTTTTCCCAGGGCTTCTGCAGTAGGCCTGACCTGGATTAAAAAATCAGATATGTCCCTCACCAGTGGTGCATTTTCAGGCAACTTATTGAGCATTTCTACGCCTGTGAAATGGAGCATATGGTCACCGTGAGATGCAGACGGGTGTCTCTGAAACCCCTAGCAGTGGGCGAGATGCCAAATAGGCTGCAAAGGCGGTGCTTCCTGTTCTCACTGAGTAGGATTTGTTATCCTGGATGCTACTCGGTTTACTACGTCTAACCTTTTTCCAAATTCTTTTCATCTTAGATCCCAGCAGCATGTGCTCATTAAGTCAAGTCAAACAGCACAGAGGTGTGCACAGAACGCCGTGGCTGGTTTTCCCTCCTTCCCTTCCAGCACCTCACCCCTCTCCGGGAAGCATCCACTGCTAAGTTTCGTGGGCATCCCTCACTGTCTCTCTACTCACACCAGTGCATCCACAGGATTCTTCCCTGAGTGTGTATGAGTTGTTTTTGTTGTTTTACAAACATGGGTTCATGCTGTCCTCACACGTACTCTTTTTTTTTTTTTCCTTCAACGTCCTTCTGGGTCAGCGTTAGAGATACACTTGTGTTTTTGAAGAGCCATATGTTACCTTAAACAGCCTGTTGATACTAAAATCAGTACATAATGTATGCTACCATGATGCCTCAGCTAGCCTCCTACTGATGGAAAGTCAGGCTATTTAAGATTCTGTTTCTTTTGCGTAAATATTGTCATGATTATTATTATTCTATTATGGGCATAAAACTGGGCCTTCAGCAATATCATAGTTTGAATGGGGAAACCAGAATCCATAATTAAGTCTCATATTCTGCATTATTTTTTCACCGTTCTACCCACATCTGCCTTCAACTCTGCTCTCTCCCCTCTGCCCCCTCCACCCCTCTCCACCTCTCCTTCCTTCCCCGCCTGCCCTCAGCCCCACACCGTTGCTCCTCACAGCCCCAGATCCGCTGGACACAAGGGACACGAAAGAAGCTTGTTTTCATTCCTGCATGCTCTGGCTCTGGCCTTACAGGAGCCTGTAGTCATTTCTGTACAAAGTTTTAGTTGTAAGAGGACTTTGCAGTCCCTGAGCAAAGGTCCATGTAAGTCATTACCAGGCTATGCTCTACCTGTTGGGAGTGTACACTGTCCCATGCTGGGGCCATTTTATCCCATTGGTATCCTCAGGACATTCAGGAATATGAGATTCCCCCAAGCAGAGAAGAAGCCATGTGAGACACTGTTGAGTTCTCTCGCAGCTGCATTTTGGGATTTGTAGGCCCGGAAACCGCTTCTGAGAATACAGTT